TTTACCTTGCCGTTTTTTTTTTTTTGTTGTTGCTGCTGATCCCTTAGCAACTACATTTCAACAGTGTTAAACACTTCAGAAAATGTAATAAATCATAGTTATTTTTTGAATGTCTCTTTTTGTCTTTTAGGTGATCCTCCTCGGATAGCGGCCTGGTTGGCTCAGTGCTCAGTGTATTTACTCATTGTTGCTCTGGAGAAAAGTGTGGTCACTCTGGTGCTGCTCATTCCCGGGTGGACCAATGTAAGATAAACAATCACACACTCAAACTTCCTGATATCGTCACACACCACTGGCATCATTTTCCTCTGCAATATTTCATAATTCCAGCCTAGCATGGACAAAACTAGAATCGGTCTCTGATCCAAATATTTTTAGTTTGCAATATATAACTTTTAATTGGAATGGTTTGCTTATTTATTTATTTTTTTTATTTGTTTTGGATATTTTCCTGCCTAATGTAATGACATTCAAAACGATTTTGGGATATTGAATGTTTTCAGTGCTTGTGTAAAAAAAAATAAGTCAGTCCCATCTGTATCTTTTGTTCTTTGTCTTTGTTTATGAATCAACGTAAATAGACAAATTACTATTTGTACTGAAGGACATTCTACTAGTATGGAAGGATGACATGAGGACAGAGACTACGGAGATGATATTTCATCTGGATTAGTGTGGGAATAATAGATTATCTGTGCATGATTTTCTCTATAGACTTATTTTAATTTCAGTGAAATAAGCTATGTATTTATTTATTTACATACTTAATACACTCTCAGAAGAAAAGGTACAAAGCTGTGACTGGGGCGGTAGCCTCAGGTACAAAAGCTAAAGGATACATCTTTGTACCTTATTTACCCCTGAATGGTACATATTAGTACTTTAAAAGTACGTATTAGTACCTAAAGTGTGCCTTTTAAAAGGGTACTGCCCCAGTGACAGCTTTGTACCTTTTTTCTTTCTGAGAGTGTATATGCAATTTGAGATGTGTTGTAAATTTTAATGGAAAAAAATTAATTAATAGTATGTATAATTGTACATGCTATTATTTAAATTCATATTTAATACATTAAATTCCATACTTTCTCACTGTAGGGTGTCTAGACTTTCTAGAAATAATTTTTTAAAAATTATTATTTATTATTCATCAGATGGACACATTACCGCAGGAAGTAGGGGTGCTGAGGGTGCTGCAGCACCCCCGGAGTGTAGCCCATGAAAAAATGGGGGTGCTGGGGGTGCGGTGTTAAAAATTTTGACTTTTTTTGTTTGTCTTTTATTTTATTATAATTTTTTTGTTCGTTTGTTTGTTTTTTGGACTGATGTGCCAAAATTGTGTTTGCATTCAGTACCCTATACGGCAGCATTTTTGTGCCATGTTTAAAAATAAATAAATAAAATTAATGTCATAATATTTTAAGAATAAAGTTAAAATTAAGATAATAAAATCATGTTATA